GTTGCAACGGTTCCTGAGGCGACAAAGTTGCTCCAGCTCGTGCTCACGGTGCCAGCTACTACAACGTCAGTGGAGCGGTCATTCTCAGCCCTGAAGAGACTGAAAACATACAGCAGGAACAGGACGGATCAAGGAAGGCTTTCTTCCCTGGCAGTGATCTCCATTGAGACAGAGAGACTTTTAAAACTGAAGGAAGATAAGGAGGACTTTTATCGCAAAGTGACGGATGTTTTTGTGCAGAAGGAGCGACGCATGGACTTCATTTATAAGTAAAGGTAAGACAGTAATAACGTTTATTTTGTTTTGTTTTTTAAGGAAATGTGTGTTTTGTGAGCTACAGTTTGTATGTGTAAGGATGCAGAAGTGAAACATAACCTGTAAACTGCTGTCAATCTATGCATCTATTTGCAAATCTGATTCTGATGACGTCAGCGCCTCACCAGCTATGAACCTCACCGCACGTCACTGGTGTGGACCTGATCTTTATTCATTGTGTTTGTCCAGCAGACCATGGAACAGGATTTGTTCCAGATTGGGTCTCTTTCTCTTCATGTTCCTGTTTGTTTCTCCCATGAGGAGCATTTCCCAGCTAGCGTGGGGTTGTACATCTCCTGTTCCTTTGGTGTGTTTCCGGTTTCAGCTGTTGGGGAAAAGCAGCAGCAGTGAGAGCGAATAAAGCCTAAAATCCTCTGAAGCTCCAGAACCAGCAGAGGGACCAACAGGGACTGTGGAGAGGAGAGTCCCAGGTGGAGCGGGGATGCCTGGAAGGAGGAGCCTCCATCCAGATGAGCCCAATGGTGGTAAATTTCACATCTGAAGGGAAAATGAATGGGCACATTTTTTCCTCTATGTGTACACATACACCTAATGAAGGGGTTTGAATGTTAATATGAAAAGAAAACTGACTATTATAATAGTAACACCACAAAATGTGATCAGTCGGAGGCTTTTGCGTGCAGTACCAGCTTCTTTAAATCATTTTTCATTGTTGATTATAAATACAAGCTAACTCATTATTTCCATGTGTGTTTCAGGTTTACCTGCAGATGTTCAGCAGGTGTTGGTGGTTAAAGAAGAATATCCATGGTACCCGAGTCTGGACCAACAGGACCCAGAAGGCCTCAACATAAAGGAGGAAGAGGACCAACTGTGGACCAGTCCGGAGGAGAAGCCGTTTCATGGACAGGAAACAGATATCAGGAAGTTCTCAGGTAGCGCTGTGACTGTGAAGAGTGACAGAACTTTGCATCACTCATAACTCCTGTTTTAAATGTTCATGAGGCAAAGATATATTTAAACTCATCTAAATTTAAGGTATTTCATACAGTTTGTTCAATGTTATCTTACTCCCCAGATATGAATGAAAGGCAGAATTTGTGTTTTTAGAGTTGTTCACATCTGCCTGAGTGGCTTATATTTGGTTATTTTGTCATTTGAAAAATAAAGATAATTGTGACAATGAAAATAGTTTTATAACAGTGTGTATTTGCATGAAACTTTTGTAGTTAAAAAATGTCCGGACAAACTGTTGGCCCCCGGGCATCTTCACTTTATCAAATCTGGCCCTCTTTGCAAAAAGTTTAGACACCCCTGCTCTAGAGTCTAGTTTCTGATTTATTTTATTATGTTGTCCTGTGTTCTTATATGTCTTACTGTACTGCTGCCTCTTGGCCAGGTCTCCCTCGAAAAAGATATGTTATCTCAAGGGACTTCCTGTTAAAATAAAGGTTAAATAAAATAAATTAATTATTTCCATGTGTGTTTCAGGTTTACCTGCAGATGTTCAGCAGATGTTGGTGGTTAAAGAAGAATATCCATGGAACCCGAGTCTGGACCAACAGGACCCAGAAGGCCTCAACATAAAGGAGGAAGAGGACCAACTGTGGACCAGTTCGGAGGAGAAGCAGTTTCATGGACAGGAAACGGATATCAGGAAGTTCTCAGGTAGCGCTGTGACTGTGAAGAGTGAAAATGAAGAAGAGAAACCTGAGCTCTCACAGCTCTATCAGATCAAAACAGAAGGTAACAGAGAGTCGGAGCCTCCAAGCAGCAGCTCAGCTGAACAGATGAAAGCAGAAGCTGATGGAGAGGACTGTGGAGGACCAGAAGCAGCCGGGAACCCAGACCTAGATGACCCTTTAGCATCAAACACTGATGAAAAAACATCAGACTCCTCTGAGACTGAAGTCAGTGATGAGGATTATTGGGGGAAATCTTCAGATACTCTGCCTGAAACTGTGGATGGAAAGAGAAATTGGAAACCAACTCCAGTGTCTGACTCTGGTGTAACTCGTAATAAGGATTTTAACAGAGCAGGAAAACCATACAGCTGCTCCGAGTGTGGAAAGCAGTTTTTGTGTAAACACTCCTTTAAGAAACACTTAGGATTCCACAAAGAGGAGAAACCTTTTGACTGCCATGAATGTGGAAAAAGCTTTAAGATAAAATCCTACTTACAGTCTCATATGAGGGTTCATACTGGAGAGAAACCATTTACCTGTGATGACTGTGGGAAAATGTTTAGTCAGAGAGGAAAACTTATAACGCACAGAAGAGTCCATTCAGGAGAGAAACCATTTGCTTGTAATGACTGTGGGAAAAGATTCAGTGAGAGGGGAACTCTCAAAGTGCACAGAAGAGTTCACACAGGAGAGAAACCCTTTTCCTGTAATGACTGTGGGAAAAGATTCAGTGAGAGGGGAACTCTCAAAGTGCACAGAAGAGTCCACACAGGAGAGAAACCATTTGCTTGTAACGACTTTGGGAAAAGATTCAGTAAGAAGGACACTCTCAAAGTGCACACAAGAGTCCATACAGGAGAGAAACCATTTACTTGTAATGACTGTGGGAAAAGATTCAGTGAGCAGAAAAAACTTACAAAGCACACAAGAGTCCACACAGGACATAAACCTTTTGTCTGCACCAGCTGCAGTAAAACGTTTTCCCAAAATTCGCATCTTAAGACGCACATAAAAAACATCCATAAGGGAGAGAAACCATTTGCTTGTAATGACTGTGGGAAAAAATTCAGTGAGAGTGAAAAACTTACACAGCACACAAGAGTCCACACAGGAGAGAAACCTTTTGATTGTAAAGAATGTGGGAAAAGATTCAGTAAGAAGGACACTCTCAAAGCGCACACAAGAGTCCATACAGGAGAGAAACCATTTGCTTGTAATGACTGTGGGAAAAAATTCACCAACAGTGGAACTCTCAAAGCGCACACAAGAGTCCACACAGGAGAGAAACCCTTTTCCTGTAGTGACTGCAGTAAAAGATTCCGTAATAGAGGACATCTTACAAGACATATGAAAGTTCACACAAAAGCCAAAACCAAACGTCAACTCAATTAAATGAGACATTATTTGACTCTTTTACAGGTCAAAATGATTTCCTGAGGTTTTAGGGAAATGTCTTTACCCCTGCACATTATTTAAACCCTCATCTCTGTAGATCCTTTCTTTTTAGACGGTCTTAGAGAGCAGAGTGAGCTCCACTCTGTCCTGTGAGGAGGGGAGGCTGTATAACTTTGGGCTTTTTTGTTGAAACTCATTAACTTTTAAAAAAAGCTTTTTTATCTCTTATGTTGTGATGAGTATGAATTAAACATTTGATGTGTTTTTGCCAACATGGTGCAGCTGACTGTGTCTTCATCTAAATCCTCAACCTGAACTTGGAGAAGTAGATGATTGTAGATGAATGTTCAGAAAAGCTGCTAATATGAACAATGTTTTGTGATGTTACATGTTTATTTCTCTATTGACAGCGTCCTGTAATGAAACATTAAACCACTAGATATTTGAAACTTGTATCACAATTTTTAAATGTAGATTTACTTATTGACATATGTTTTCTTTTCATGTCTCCTTGTTTTAATAAAAGAAATGTGTTACTGAAAATATCTAGTTTTCCTCCTTTTCTCCATCATATTAGTCATTCAGTTGAAATAAGTGGACGCACCGCTGGGTTAGCTGTAGGTTTTCCTAGCTGAGTGACCCCACCCACTTAAAAAATCCTGCAAATAGATTCAATGGTTATAGCTCCGTTTGTGCCCTTAAAATCATGGTTTGTGCTGCTTTTGTTTCTGAGATATTAGAAATGAGTTTTTAGGTCATCCAAAGGTCACCATCGAGTTCCAAATGAAACCAAACTGGTCTCAGTTTTTAGTGCTTCGTTTGTGCTGTTCAAACCTTCATTGTGCTGCTTTTATTCATGAAACATATCATTTGCTTTCAGGCGTCACACAGAGCTGAAAACAGATGACGTCAATACCTGCACAAAGCAAACATTATTCATTTAGTATTATTTAGTATTTTCTAAAGAGGCTATGAGTGTTCTCTATCGGACCATCTCCAAGCTGCAATCTGCACACACTGAGGGTGTTTTCATCATTGCAGGGGACTTTAACCAGGCCAGTATGAAAACTGTTCTCCCTCATTTCTACCAACACGTGGATTTTGAGAACACTCTAGACTTGGTTTATACAAATATAAAAGACGCATTCAGAGCAGCCCCACGCCCCCACCTCGGCTCTTCAGACCACCTCTCTGTAATGCTAATTCCTGCATACAGGCCCCTGCTGATCAGAGCTAAACCTACAGTGAGGCAGGTGAGGGTTTGGACTGAGGGGGCCATGGAGGCACTCCAGGACTGTTTTGAGTGCTCTGACTGGGACATGTTCAAAGCTGCAGCAACATGTGACAACATGATAAACATTGATGAGTATGCCATGACTGTGTCAGCCTACATCAACAAATGCATCGAGGACGTCAGCACCACAAAGAAAATCATCACCCGAGCCAACCAGCGACCCTGGATGACTGGGGAGGTTCGCCAAGAGCTAAAAGCACGGAACCCAGCCTTCAAGTCCGGTGACAAGGAGGCACTGAGAACAGCGAGAGCCAACTTGAGCCGTGCAATCACGGAAACGTGAAAAACTCCAGTCATTAACAAGCCAGCATGGGGCAGCCTCTCTTCAGGATCAGCCTCAATCCATGAAATTACAGCTCGAAACACAGCAAGTTCTGAGGGCACACACAGACCATCGCAGCAGAGGAACTCCAGAAGCTTCTCCAGTGATAAGTCCTTAAACTTTGTAGTGGCTGACACTTCCCTAAAGTTCCTTCGTACAAAGTCATTGGCTTCCTCTAGGAGCTCTGGCATTCCGTAGGCTTCAGCAAAAGACGCCACATCCAGGCAAGAACTAGCTTGCATTTCTTCTTGCATGAAAGTGAGGCACAGCATGAGAGCAGATCGGAACTGAAGCTGGAGGGCCATGCAAGTTATCTCAAAAACATTGTCCCAGCTGAGTTGTAGTTTCCCCCTGTAGGAGAAGCCAACGAGGGTCTCCATTTCGGGTGCAGGCAGGAAGGGAAGTGCAACACGGTTCTGTTGAGATTCCCTCATTCCACATGTAAACATTCCACGGAAGAAGTCATTGCTCGCTGCCATGATAACCCTGTGGACTGGACAAAATGGAAGGTCAACTTTTGGCCGTTGCAACATTTTCAAAATGTATCATCATAAAGCCAACACTAACCATTTATAAAAGATCCATCCACTTCCAAAATGACATCACATCCAACTTTGTCTACCCACAGCTGTTCAACTGACTGCAGAGTGATGCTCATTTGTTCTTGTGAGGATGTTTTCATCTGCTCTTGCTCGAGAGATTTACCCTCCTTTAGCCTATGTTCTTTGTTGCAGAGATCCACCAGTCGTGGGACCTCCAGGATTTGAGCTGCTGCCATGATTTTAGCCGCGGTGTGATTTTGTAAAGATGACACAGCGCCAGTGTAAGCAAACTCAATGACAGCTTGGAGCCCAGCAAAGTCAACCTCTGCACCAAGGTGTACTGCCCACCTGTGGGCGCCAGCCCCCTGACCGTCGCTGATGAAGCGTTTTTCCCTTACTCTCTCCAGAATAAATGCGCTGATAGCAGCCAGGATAACAGAGTGAACATGGAAGCTGCTCCCATCCTCAGCTGTCAGAGTCAGATCTGTGAGATGATTCGAATCCCGGAATTCTTTCAGAGCTGCAGAAAACTCAGCGGGAAAGGTTTTGCTGCGGCATGTGTGGACGTTACGTTCTTCCCCTCCGAATCTGTCATGCACCGAAGTGCCGCCCTCATCAGCGTTAGTCGTCTTCAGCACTGACCCTTCACTCTCAGGGACCCCACTTTTCAGGCCCATTCTTGAGTCATTAAAAGCAACAATTCTCCTCAGTTCCCGACTGTCCTCCTCAACCTCCACTCCACCTCTTTCAATGATTCTTTTCCTGGTTTCCTTTTCTCTCCTCCATCGCTCTTCCCATTCCATTGGAAGGTAATGCTTGGTAAACTCCATATCAGTTATATCTCTTTACAGGGCATGCACAACTGCTTTTCTTTGGTATTTACGGCTTCTTCTGGGATCCAGGAAAACCTCTTGCCATGAAGAATTTAATGCTGTCTCTTACTGACTTTTTCTGCCTCCTCAAACCTTCCTCCTACCCTCAAATCTGTCCTCTACGTCTCTTATATTCATGTTTCCTTGAGACAGAAAAAACTGGCTATTCATAGTTACTGGGTCAGAGAGATTCAGTTTCAAGAGACCTTTGGTACGAGCTTCATTGTAGTGTGAATCCAAAAAGAACTTCAGAGTAAAGGTGGATTTAAAGATCAGCCTGAACAGAGGAAACCCACACTTGAAGTTTAAGCAAAAATACATATCCAGAACAACTGTGGGAGCAGTTAAATAGTAACGGTCTTTTTGAGATATAATGTTTCTTTATTTTTAAAGTTTTTCAGATAATTTACTTTTGACTAATTTAAAGTTGCAAAACATTTCTGAGCATTGAAATAAACAGATGTTCACAATACAATACACTGGTAACATGTCCAAGGAAAGAGCCTTCATAGAATAAGCGGGAAAACCAATTAAAATTGATTAAAATTAAGAAAAGGTTTTTTGTGCTAAGGCGAAGACGACAATCAGTTTTTCTGTGACATGCAGGATGTAGGACTCAACCCAAGTGGAGAGAAATCAAGAGAATATCTTGCAGCCTTTTATCAACATGGCAACTGTTAGATCTGTATAATATGAAATAGGAGCGGTTGGATCACGGATGCAGAAAAAAAAAAGAAACAGACATGGCTACAGGAGCATGTTCAGGCAGACTGTGAGAGACTTATAAACTGTTGACAGTAGATAAATCCTGGACATGTTAACAAGACAAAACATTTCTTCTGAGATAGTTCAGTTAAAACAACAGAGTGAGATGCAACATACTGTATATCATTTGTTTTTCTCCTTGGAAAAAATTCAATACAGAATTCCTACTTACTAACTCCACGTTTTGATTTACCAACACAGACATCTTATTTCATTTCATTGCAACAATCAGCTGCAGACAGAAAGGCACAGAGACGTCCCTGTTTCCCGCCGGGAGGTGCTGCTTCTCGCCTCGCCACTCAGCTGAAGCTGATGAGGTATTCCGGGTAGGCCTGGTCATCGTGGAAAATAATAAACATGGACGGCTGCTGCTGGTTGTCCACCAGACTGTCAAAGCAGTCGGTGGGGTCGGAGCCTCGAGGAGGGGGGGCTTTCATAGAGCCTTTACCAACGGTGTAACGGCCGGTCAGGACCCGGGCAACGTAGAGACGCCTCAGGCCTGATGCGTCCGCCGGGGAATACCCACCGGCCGAGTAATTTGCATTGACTGCAAAGTAAACTCCCTTTCCATACACAGCAGCTGGAACAGAATTACAAGAAGAAATACAGAAACAGTTTAGGGGGAGATGCTTTGCACCTCGTCCTGTGTCCTCTATGGCAGCTTTTTGGAGGTGATCACGCCTTACCGTGCGTTCCCGCATAACTCCTGTCGAATCGATCTCTTTCAATGCAGCTGCACGATTCCGCCGAGGTGCCGTGGTAGAGGAACTTCTCTCCCAGCTCTGCCACCCCGTTCTTCCTGAGTATACGCTGTTTACACACGCTGTGCGCGTGCCACAGGTAGAGGTTCTGCACGCGCTCAATCTGAAATAGGAGGAAAAGTACATGTCTTTCTCTTTTTGATACAGGGCCAAGTCTTTATTATTTCTTTTTGAGTTTTTTTTTTTCAAAGCAGGCTGACTTTTTTAATGGTGAATTTCGCTGTTTGGAGGAAACCTTTGGCTACATCCTTGTATTCTTGTGAGTTAGGGTCCAGGTTCACTTTCTTAAAGATTTCCTCGTGCATCGGCTCCCAATGTGCTGGCAACTCAAAGTCTAAACCAAAAGATTAATATTAAAATCAAAAGTAAAAAAGAAAAATGAAATGTGAGGATTTGATGACTCATACTCTAAGGAGGTCGTTACCCACCTGCTTCTGATTCGAGCCTCTTCACTTTGTACTTGACGCCTGTACTGAAGTCTGTGGCTTCTAGTGCTCTCAGGTTTACTTTTACCTTCCTACCATCTGGTACTGAAATATCAACGGAGACTTGCTTCTGAGAATGAGCATCCTCCAGCCTGTAGTTGTCATGCAGGCTCAGCTCCAGCCACTCGTTTCCGTCCTTTATAAACCACTGAACCCTCAGAGCCAGCATGGCCTCGTCCTTATCTTGGATGTCTTCATGAAGTGCTTTTTGGAATGCTCTGTAGATCAGCTCAACTACACTCAAAACATCCTCTTTGAGGCCTTTCAGCACATAGGCCTGCTGCCCAGACCCGGACCCAGCTGTGTTTCCGACTCTGCCGCCACCCTGGGGGTCAGAGCCCTGATGCCTTTGCAGCTCCAGGCTTATTTCTGATATGTTGACTTTGGCCAGCACTGCGTCCATCTCCATGTCATCAAGTCTAGAAAACTGATGCATGTCCAGAACTCTCTCTATCAGCTCCTTTTGCAAAATCCATTCTAAGTCTGTTTTAATGTTCCTGACATCGCCTGGGCCGCGGCTAATCACATAGAACACTGCCGGCCGGGGTTTTGCCAACAGGGAGGCTCGGCCTTGTGGGTTAGGAGGCGCAGTGGCACGTGACCGCCTCTCTTGGAGCTTCTTCAGCTGTTGTTTGGCCTTTTCTAAAGTTTAAAATAAAATAGAAAAATGATATCAAAAGGAAAAAAAGGATAAAATCTTAAGTGATAGCTATGGTATATTCTGGATTCAGCGAAATATAGTAGAATATTCAGTAAAAACATGTCAGTGTTGGAAAACTGTAGAGATTTATGTGTTTTTATGAGCTTTTAAAGGAAGATCTGATTGGTGGATGTGGCAGACTGATCTCCTGGCCTCTGGCTGGTGTAACCACCGATGCTCAAGTGGAAATTTTGCTTTAACTCTGGATCTGTCTGACCCTAATCAAGTTTATTTGAATGGTAAAATGAATTTTCTCAAAATAACTAATTCATTTACTGAAACCTGGAGTGTTTGATTATTCCTGCAGTTCCCTAAGAGACGGATTTCTATCCCTATCACTTTGTGCCTAAAATGTTTTAATTATGTTAAAGAGGTCCACGGAGGACGACTGCGCAAACCTCTCAGGTTGAGGCGACGTGGAGCTTTCTTTCCAAATCGACTCTCCAGCTCTGATCTATAAAAGAAAAACAACAACAAAACAAAACATCAAAGCAGGGGTCATAAATTATAAACCATCCAACTTGGAGAGGAATGCAACACGCATGATTTGTGTTAAAGTTTAACCTGAAAGCCTGAAAGACCGGTTGCTGCAGGATGACGATGCGGATGAGTGAGAGAGAAGTCGGCTTCAGGTCCCTGACAGCAGAGGCAATTCCATCCAGCATGGCTTTGCAAGATTTAATGGGGTCCATTTGACCATTCCCTGGTGGAATAAACAGACATTTTTTAATCCATACTGCCATATGAACTCTGTTTGTTTTGCTCTTATAACTCCATTATTTATAATTCCTCAGATCTGTTTAAACCTCAAAACACTTAAAGCAAAATTATAACCCCGGAAACCCCACATTTAGTTGTTTAAAACTACTTAAGGCAGTACACACCTGTACCGACGGCTGGGAAGGCCACTGAGCTGTGTCTCTTGCTCTCACAAAGTCTCAATATGTTTTTGCAGTTCTTCTGAATCCTCTGAGTGTCATTATTGAAGCAAGCGTGGATGATTTCCTTACAGCCAAGCATTCCTGGTCCTGTGGTGCACATGTAGTCTGCTGGAGAGTTTACTGACGAAAAGCAAAAGCATGTCAGCCTAAACACTCTCCAAAGGGTAGATATTAACAGTATTCTGTATATCCCACAGGCTTACCTTTTGCCAACTCTGCCAGGACACTGGGCCCCGCTGCAGTCACAATGGCTTTGGACACACCAGCTGAAAAAAAAACAAACGGCCAATAAAATCTGCTCTAACTCAGTGAATTACGGTAATAAGGATTTATATCCTACCAGTCTGGTAGTTGGAAAAATCGGTTGTGTTGACAATCACATCAGTGCCTGCATGTATGATGTCACCGCACATCATCTGTAGCCGGACTCCACCCAGCATGGCTGTGGTGTCATTGTTAGTTATTGAGACTTTACGGTAGAAGGAAGCTAAAAACAACAAAAAAAGACATTAACATCATGCTTCAAATTCACAAATGTGCTATTGCTTTAATTTTTAACTTAGCATTTTCAACATTATTTTGCTCTAATGCCTGCAAATTAAAATGATTCATGTACTGTTAGGGCCACTATTGCTAATGTCCAGGCCGTTTCAAATACTAGAGACCTGTATAGGTGTAATACACACTAACCATCATCTGGATTAACATCATTTGTGAGTCCTCTGAGATGCACAGCTTCCTGGGCAGACTCAAATGCCTGCCGAGGGAAAATAAAGAGTTTTATTGCAAGCCAAAGATCTCACAATCCCACAATGACTTGCCCAACAAGCGCCTTTAACAGGTTTGTCCTTTACCTTGCCGGACTCTTTGTCCGAGGGATGAACAACAATACGGACCAGGAAAGGCGACCTGCTGTCTCTCTTCTGTTCAAATGTGCCAACCTCCTCAAGAAGAACCCTGGACGCCACGCTGTGAGGGAAACGCAGAATGGCGCCGGTCCCAAGCACTGGGAAAACCACTGAGCTAAAGCCTCTGAACTCGCAGGAAGTCAGTGTTTTTTGGATTCCCTCCCTAAGTGCCTGGTGGGGTTAGATAAATATTTATTATCGTCAGAAAAGTACTGTAAGGACCAGCCTGGCTGAATATAAGGTCACTTGTGATATAGTTCACCTGGATTGCAGCTCCGTGCTGGTCATTGTCCCAGCAGACTTGGTTGATGAAGATGACTGCTTTACAGGCAGGGGTGGGCAAGCCATCCACTGTGACTGCGTCACCAGGCAGAGTTGCTCCTCTTGCTTCCGTATGAAACCTTGCAGTCAGCTGTGGTCCAAAGAGACTTGACAGAGCCTTTCCGACCCGGATAGACTGAGGATCGTGGCCGACCATAGGGCAGACAAGGGCGTCTGCCTGGTAAAGTAAAGTGTGGTGTTTGGATGATCGTGGTCATTGAGAATAACAGTAGAATTTACGGATTTATCCCAAAATTTGGTTCTTACCTGCTGAGTTTCGATTGTTCCCTGAACAATCTCAACACGGACACTGCCTGCTGCAGCTACTGTTGTTTGCCAGGTAGCATCCCCAGCACCGGGGTTTCTGTTTCCGGTATTTTGCAGAACCCTGTCACACGTCTCCTTCATGGCCCTCACCACCTTTTCTCTATTGTCTATGAGTATGACCGTCTTTAAACTGCGCCCACTTTGGCTCCCAAACTCTTTGACTGCAGCAACAATAGCTTCAGCGCACACGCTGACGGGAACCCCAAAAATACCCGAGCTGATGCATGGAATGGCAATGGAGCTCAGCTCCATTGTTTCTGCCAAATTCAGAGCACGCTGAACAACTGTTTCCAGTAAAACCTTCTCTCTGCCACCTGCAGTTCCCCCTACGGGTCCTACAGCATGCAGCAACTTCTTACATTTTAGGTTCCCCCCTGTGGTCACCACCACCTCTCCCGTGGGGATTCTTCCGGTCTGTTGAACTATTGCTTTGCTCTCCTTCTGCACCTGAGGACCACCTGCTTTACTCAGCGCGGCAGCAACACCGCCGCCATGGTCTAAATCCTCATTGGCGGCGTTCACTATGGCATCGGCATATTGTTTGGTTATGTCGCCCTGACATACTAGCACCCGAAGGCCTCCCTGAAGGCTATATTTAGCAGTTCCGTTATCCTGTCTCCCATGGTGAGGCTGTTCTTCAGAGTAGATGAGGCATTTATGAGAACGGGACACTTTTAGGAGGCTGTCTTTTCCTGAGGGACTTTCAAAATATCTACCAGCACCCGGCAAGTCAACAGTGACTCGGTTCTGTTCGAGGGCATCCAAAAATGGGCCAAGCCTATTCCTGACCTCTGTGACTTTGCTGGACGGCCCTTCGAGCATCACCATTGGCCCAGAAGAAGATGTTATGGGACTGAAATGAACTCCTGAATCGTCAAAGTTATATATCTGCAGCAGTTCCTGCAACAGTTCAGCCAACTTGGGGAAGGGGAGTTGGACTTTTCCTTCAATGCTTGACTGGTCTAAGATAAACTGTGTAAAGGTTTCAGTCAGTTCTGCCACTTCTTTTGCGTGGCCCAACAAATGCACAGTGCTTTTCCCGCCGCACACAACAACAGCCCTGTACTCCTTTTGGTTAATCTCTTTTGTTTTTGAAATGAGCTTTTCCTGAAGCTCTGGTGGTACAATGGAGCAGTTAGGAACATCATATTTGGCCTCTTTGAACTTTTCCTCCAGCCTCTTTTCAGCTTCTTGCAGTTTATCAGTGCAGAGGGAGAAGAAATTGAGTTCTGTGTCTAGCAGTTCTACCTCCACTTTGTCACCAAGTCCTAAAAAGTTACCCAGCGACCCAGGGCCTCCAAACACCTTCCTTAAGAAGGCAAAATAATGGGGGCTCTTGTCAAAAACAGTACTCTCTTTTACCAAATTCTCCTTATCAGTGATCAGCTCACCAGCTTTGAGGATCTCCTCCGCAGAACCTTCTAAAACCAACTGACCAGCCTCCCCCTTTGTGACTTTCACGCCTGGAAAACGGTGTCCTAAACTGATCTTAATCTCTTCCCAGAGGAGTCGAATTTTTGCCTCACCAAGTCGACGGACACTGGTTTGCCTCTGAACCAGAAGGGATTTTCGTTTAAAATGCGAACCATCTAAATCCGCTAATCTGGCGCTCACCTTAGAAGTTTCACCAACAACAATGGCCGTCCCAATATCGCTGAACACTTTCATCCCATCTTCGGTCTGTTGAGAGCTGCAGGACTTGAGCAAAGCTTTGATTTTGAGAGACTCCACCTCATAGTAGCACATGTATCCAGCAAAAATTTTGTCTACCTCAGATTTCCAGTTGCTAACTGTATCCCCAACATCAACCTGAGCTAATCGCCTGATTAATGCTATCCCTTTCTCTGGATGAAGTTCAGCAGAGCAGCACACAGTGGCAAACTCTCTCTCCAGTTTTTCATTAGCCTTTGGGCATTCCTTCAGGTAACGAAGGAGAAAATGATCAAGTTGCACTTCATATTCTTCATCATGCGGTGACAGGCTTGACGCAACAGAGGATTGCTCTTCCTGTTGAACACGAAAAACAAGTATGTAATATTTCAGTTTATATATCATAGTTACTTTGAGGCACTTATATTTAATGTAAAATAACAAGAAACTTGAGCATGATGGCAATACAAAACAGGCAGAACTGCCTTTGGTTTAGGGCCAAATTTACTAAACTGCACAAACTGAGAGAGACCATAGATACAAATTTATCTTATGTTATAAAGATTCTTTCTTTCAATCTTAATTGGAAATATGTGATAATTCAGTGGCATCTACTTCCTATACACATTTTAGCTCTACCTAAAGTTTTGTTAAAGGTTTTCTCATGAATGATTTAATCCTTTTATCCATTTGCTAGTTTGGTCGAGGTCAGGGGGCTGGAGGCTATCCCAGCTCATTGGGCATCCCAGTAAGGCCCCCACTCCATCACAGGGCCGCACAGACACAAACAACCACACACGCACTTTAATTTCTAGTGGCAATTTAGATACACACATGTGCTATGGTACTGTGGGGCTCATAAAGTTTAATGTCCAGATACTGCACTGACCTGTGAAAAGCTTGTTGCGTCCACTTGTGGCCTGGCTGACTGACCAGGAGTCCGGGAAGTGCGAGAAGGGCTCTGTGGTTCTGCACTCTCTCGAACAGCCAGAACCAGAGAAACACCAGCGAAGTCCAGCACATGCTCGGATCGTTGCAGAACTCTTTGCTGGGCTGAGGAGGCAAACAGCACATTACTTAACACAGTATCTGGCTCTTCTAAGCTGCTGTGACTCCTACTCTTAAGATATTTATTCTTTATTAAAAAAAAGTCAGAGATGTCCTTTCATAATTTGTTTGTCACAAAAGTGAAAATGAGCTGCTGTTCTCTGGCATGCTGCTGACACACCTTAACTATTGAAACCGAACAATAGGCATGATCTGCAATGAAAGGCATGCACTTCCTCTCAATAGTTTTCCTCCTTGGGTACCTTTTTAAAAAAAAAAAACTTTGCTTTACGTCACTCGTTTAAAGCCTTAGGTTAGAACGTTTAGATAATTCTAAAACAAATGACCTGTGGTGTTTGTAGGATATATGAGGCTATATATTAAAAAGGAATCCCTGAGGAAAGCTTTTTTTGTTTGTTTTTTTATATCTTATGGTAGAAATTAATACTTTTTAGGTTTCAGAACTGTTCTGAAGTAGGTTTCAATAATAACATTCATGAAAATAGATCAAATGCTGGAACAAATCTAAATTGTATTTGTAGTAAGTGGTAATTTAAGAGTGTGTTTTAGATTTGACAGTCTAAAACACTCTTGGTGGCGCTGGTGCGCGCGCAGCTGGCCGGACATTGAAAGTGAAAGCATGTCTGCATTGTTTTGACTTTTTAATACAGAGACACAACTTCACAAATCGCAATCGGTATGCGGACTAGGCTGCAAAAAAGATACGTTTTCCATATATCACCATGTATTCACAACAAGTAATGTTCGCCATCAGGTTTACTCGCTGTCTTAAATTTACTTTCACTTTCACCGTCCGACCTCGATAAAATCAAATCTTATTTAAATCTTACCTTCCCTCTCTTGAAAAGAGACGCAGTAAACCTTCCCCCCGACGTCTGTCACCGAGCTGCATTCTCCTCCGCCCGATTTGCGCCGGACCTTGAAATAACTCAGAATCCTCTTCTTTTGCTCATCGTCTAACGCGGCGCAATCGAAGTAAACTGGGTACCGGTAGAGGTCCCCCATAGTGTGACAAGCAGAAACAGAAATAGACACGTAGATTTGGCACCCACGACCACGCAGCTCCGGCGCCTGTCAGGCACTGATGGCATCTGGTTTTTATTTTATTTTTTATCATCAGGTGTGACTCTGCAGCCTGTAAAGGACGTCAGACACCCCGTGACTGGAAGTAAAAGCCTCTCTCCTCCCTCATGTGTGTTTTTGGTTTCTGTCATTGGTGGAAATTAAAAGTAACCGTGGCAAAAACTGCTTTTTGCCTTGTCACAGTATTCCCATTTAATCTTTTGTATTTATTAATTTTTTGTATTTGTATGTGATCAAAAACATAATAAAAATAACATTTTCCATGACGTTTTCCATGCATTTGAAAGCTTTACTTGCCATATTGCCCTTATACACAATAAGGGCAATATGGGTTGCCTTACTTGCAATATTACCTTCTAACAAGCCTGAGCAGAGGGGACAGGTACAAATTATAAGAAAATTAACTTTGTCTATATAATAAGACAGAAAATCGAGACTCAATACCACCCCCACCAGATAAACCGAGCCAAAAGATGACAGGATAGAAGAAAAGCTCAGAATCCATTCAAAACAAATGTTTTTGATTCAGGATTAATTTAAATATTGTGTTGTTGGAACCTGAGCTCCCATTTCATAATTGTGACCAAGTGTAAAATAGAATATAAAGAGACTTAATTATTAGTCCAATGTTTATTTACAAAAATAGAAAATCATCATTATTCGATGTTCTGAAATCTTAAAAATACAGTTAGTCGATGGGTATACTTGACCGACCTGGAGTAGTTTAAATAATAATAAATATGCAACTTAGGAAACAAAATCAAAATGGCATGGCCAAACAAAGCCCAAATAAAAACCAAACAAAACATGCAAAGGTACCCCAGGTCAATTCAAATTGACACGGTCTGAAAATCCTATACAGGCCCAAACAATTAATGCACAGCCTAAAACTTAACAAAAAGGGAAAAAACAGTGGGTGGCGACTCAGTAGCATCCAGATCACTAAAAAGCACACACATTCCACAATCAATATGACGATCACACTATTATTCAAATTACTTTGCAAGTTACCTTTGTTAACATTCCAAAAAGAACTCTCCCAGTTGTAGAGGCCAGCAGGTGATGACTGTAGCTACTACTTGGATGTAAAAGGATATGGTCATTATTTGCCACACTGCATTTATGACAGACAGAGTATACATATACCTTTCTGTCTGCGCACCAAACACAGATTCGGCTTAACCGCTCAAGTATGATGGCTGCCGGTTGCCCTCTGCACCCAGGTGGAGTGAAAGGCCCAGGTGTGCTCCCTCTGGCTTTTAAAAGCTATGCTCCGCCCCCCCAACTTCCTACTTCCTGGTCCACCCTGTCACATAAATATCACCCTGTCAGATGAGCCACACGTGCATTTTCTTTTCTACAGTGTGGAATGAAGACCACGAGTCGTCTCAGAATTCTCTCTTCTGGGTGCCTTTTTGGAACAAAAACAGTTGTGTTGCGGGACGGGGGATCGAGGAGTGAGGAGGACCAAATTGTGGCACAGACATTTGAATAGAACAGCTTGACCACTGGAACCTCATGCCACTAGAGACTTTGATTCCCCAAAGGCACAGAGAGAAGGAGGTTGACAGTTCCCCGGGCCATTAAAATCTTCCACCGGGAAGAGACAAATCAGGTGGAACCGTGTTTCCTCAGCAGAGCATTTACATTCCACGCCATCCCGGATATCTGTGTTGCACTTTAAATGCAGCACAGTTTAAAATGTTGCCTCCACCTGCCTGCTTTTTAAAAAGATGTATGTCTGCTGGCTTTCACTTTTAGCTCTTTTTCTCATCAGCAGAATTTAATCTTATCTGAACGAGCGAGAAACCTTGAAGTACAAAGGGTAATACCAGAACAGTTTGCATTTGTAATCTTTCCCCTTTGAACTCAGATAGATCCATTTAAAGGAGGGTTACTTGGATTGTTGTTCTGACCCTGTGCATCCTCCAGCCACTCCGCATTCCTACCATCATTTAAGGACATGCATGTGTAGTAGTTCCTAAATGCCTGGGAGAAAAGTTGAGTTTCAAGAAGGTTTTAAAAACAAACAACTGTACTTTTATTAGTTACTAATAAATAGAGCTGCTCCTCCTCTTGGCCATCTTCATTACAAACTTTCATTATCTGCATCCCTGTCTGGAGTTTCTGTTGTCTGTCTGGACACTGTCAGAACCATTGCTTGTCCAGTTGGAAATTCTTACATTTGTGTCTTTAAAAAAAAAAAAATCTAATAAAAAATGTGTAGAATTGGCTGAGGTACAGGAATTCACGCGGCGGAAGCTTCTTTGTTTAAATGTTATTAAGCTATAAAGGCTCATAATATCCTCTATGACTGGGTGTAGTCGTGTTTTTTTTTTCTTAAACACGTTTTAGCTTAACTGTGAGCTGAAGTGGGTAAAAAAAGACTTCCCACAGCAGGGACATCTATGACTCAGGGTGATGATGATGCTCATACTTGTGCTGTCATGTCTAAACTTGGCCCGTACTCTTGGCCAATAAGCACCTCGTTCTGGGCTCATCGCTCACGATGACCACGACAATGAAACTTTTAGATGCCACGAAAAACAGGAGGCTGAAAACGACGACAAAGCGCCTGTGACCAACACCTCTAAATGTGTGTGAGGTACGAGCAGATATCTTCGACAAAAGCACCACTTAGGATCAACATCCATGTATGACCACAGTTGGTGTGCCCGCCTGGGTTTTTTTCATTGCCGAAAATGAACACGTCACACAGATTCAGCAAAGGGAAGGAAGAGAATGGAGAAGTTGTTGTGAGGAATCAAAACTTACTTCGAAAGCATGAGCGCTCACACCGGCATGAGACACGGTGACCACTTCCCCCCCCCCCTTAGTTCCTTCTGCGGCCTGCTCATCTGCCCAGTGTCAGTTACACATCTGAGGATGCAACACAAATTATTCTGTGTGCAGCGGCTGGTTGGTGAGTACTTTTAGAAATTCATTCACATTTGACATGCATTGAATTTTTTTTAAAGAAATGTGCTTTAACAGTGTGTAATATATATATATATAAGACTGGGGACTTAAATGCTGAGCTCTGGGATTTTCGTCCTGTTAATCATATTATTCAAATAATTACTTAAGATGTGTTTTTTTTTTTTACATGTCACACTCTCTGCTGTGTGTTAACGCCTACTCCCAAGTGTCATGTGACTTCTCCTTAGTGGGCTTTTTTTTGTTTTTAGCATTTTAGTGATTGAAACTTGAAATAGTTTGGATGCTTGTGACTGATTCAGTTTATTTCTTCATTAGATCTACCTGTCACATAGCACACAATTAAGTAAATACAAAAAAACTGTATGGTTGCAAAAAAAAAAATTTTTACTATTCTATTTTTGCCTTTTTTTTCTGGTTTAACTGGGCTGTGAAAAAGCTATAAGCCTAACTTTGTGCATTATTGAACACATACCAGCCAAAGATTGAACCAAAGAAATAAATGTTCCATCTTTATTTTCTAAGCAAAAATTATATTCTTACAGCTGGCAGAGAAGTGTGTATTCACCATTTTTTACTCAAAGACATTAGTGGCTTTCTTTATCAAACTGTAGCTGACATTGGTGAAATATATATATATTTTTTGACACAGTCATTTCTTCTGAACTTAAACTGATTTTCAATCTTGATTCTAGTGCTGCACACTCTCCTCCTCTGTGAACTCATCCAATGTGAGTATTTATCATTCTTCTGAGCTTTAACATCAGATAAGTGAACATTTGATCACTGATTATTATTTTTCACGTCCTTTTTGTTTTCGGTTCAATTGCCACACTAACAACCAGTTCACTGGAGCAGTGCGTAGCAGTATTAGGTTTCTAAACATTGTATTATATAATTGTTTTTGGGTTATGGTTAAAGATGCTTTTCTGAGCTTCAAGCCAAACTGGTTCCTTTTTTTTGTTGGGGGAGTCTGTTACCATAATATGTAATATACACATGCAGAACAACTCAGATTTGGATTTACGTGTTGAGCAAGAATGGTGAAAAGTTGGATTTATTCGATGACAAAATATCCTGCTTGCTCAGGCTGTTGAAACAGCAGTGGAGACTTCCGGTGCACTGGCAGGCTGGTATGGGAGCAGTCCAAAGCAGGCTGTTGACAAAAGTAAGACAGAACTAGCAGGTTACCAGGAGATTAACTTATTACTGGCTTGGATATTGACAGAACTGGAAAAATCTGCAAACACCAAGCAAGGTTTTACTTTTGGATGCAGTACTGGTGATAATATTGGCAATCACCCCTTGGATAGATCAAATATCTAGAAAGAAGAAAAGATGTGGGAAATGAACATTGGAAAAGATTAGATTAATAGAGTCTAATTTTCATTTGTTTTTATGTTTTTACGTCAACAGCTAAACCCCAAAGTCTCAATGTATCTTCACAATGGCTGACTTCTGGATCCTCTGTGATGTTGACCTGCCACGCAGCCCAGTCCACAGGGCTGAGTTTCTTCTGGTACAAAGCCTCCCCCGTACATGCAAACAACTCCTATCGATACGAACCTCTTCCTGGTAGCACCAATGGGACTAAGCAGAACACCTACGTTGTCCATGGACAGAAACGAACAACAGGATATGCATGTAAGCCTGCGAGGAAAGAGCCAAGCAAGGGCATTCTGAAAGGGAAACCCAGATTCGTCTGGTTGACAGGTAAATTCAAGTCTTGGAATGATCCTCTTTATCTGTTTGTTAGCACATTCGATAAACCGTACTGACAACTTCCGTCCTTTTATTTTGTTGTGGCAGATTTCCCTCCGGAATCCGCCTCCATCAAAGCGACTCCGGACAGCGTGCAGCACTTCTCCGGGGAGAGCGTCTCCCTGCGCTGCCAGGGGCCGTCGCCGCTGTGGCGGGTGATGAGGCTGACCGAGGCCGGCTACTCCTCAAACTGCTCCCTCTGGGGCAGCGCGTCCGGGCCCGCCTGCGCCATCGTCAACACCACCGCCTCGCCGGCGGTGTACTGGTGCGAGTCGGAATCTGCCTTCAGCAACGCGGTCAACATCTCCACCCAGGGTCAGCGCCGGCCCCTCCTTCCCACGGCTCCATCC